GAGAGGGGCGGCGAATGCCTTTTTGACAAGCCAACGGGGGGCCCTTTTATGATCCAAACCTGTCAAGTTACAGGCTCGTTGAAGTAAGTTCATATTGCGGAGCCCTCTCCGCTGCTTCAGCACAGCCACACCAACTAAGTACCCACAGTTCAGCCATCACCTGGAGCCAGGGGCCAGCATTTTTGGCTTCAGAAATCTGCGCAAAAAGCTCTGCTAGAATCTATTTCTGCAACCCCAAATCATGAAATATAATAACAGTGGCCCAGTTATTCGAAACTACTAATTTTGCGAGTTAGTTTGGCTTACATACAATAATAACACAAAAAAATAGGGCAAACTTAAGCCAAATACAGTTAAAAACTACAAAAGTAACGGGTTCTGTTAAATTAAAAATTTGCGCCCTAAGGCCCTGTCACTATCTTGAAGTCCTATAATATTGAAACTGCCCAACCTCAATCTTAGTATGCTAAAAACAAATGTGAAAAGCCAATTAAGATTAAGTTCTTATTACAATACTTGAGTCTGATATGATCACAGCAGGAAGCTGGTAGCCAAGCCACAGGCTGCCAACTGATCAGACGCCATGGTCCAAAAAGCGCAACTAACTGAAGCTGCTAACCAATTCAAGTTGTTCCGCTACCCTCACTTCCCTTTTCTGCCTACAAAATACCTCTTTAAATGTAGAGCGTCCTCTGAACTCTGTGGCTTTGAATACTTGCTCGCTGTTCGATGAATCATTCGTTGCTCAGATAAAACTGTTGATACATTATTTGTCTAAAGTTCTTTTAAAGTTCTAATTACTAATCATAACACAAATCAGGAAGCTAGAACAAAAAAAGCATTATTTTTGGACAAAAGAGTGTTTATTTTTTGTTGATTTTTTTTTCTCTTTTTATTTCCTTTTTGACAGGCAGCCTGGTATCTGTTAAGAGTGTTATTTTTGCAATCAGCATATACTTCTGAAAAGATAAAAAAAAGTCATAACACATTTATGCTAATATTTATATGGTCTTGCTTGCGGTGAGGGACCCTTCAAAAGCAAAACACCAAAAGCAGAAACGCATAAGATAGATTCAATATATGAATACCATAACTAAAGTCACTGTAGGTAAAAAGTATTCTACACCAACCTCACCCCAAAACACAATTGAAAAGCTTTATAAAACTATGGCACCACCACACCACACACACACACAAACACACACAGCGAAAAAGTATTAATGTAAAAAGTGGTTCGAATACAAAAAGAACTTTTAGTTGGTTTTTAAAAAGTAAGAAGTACGTTAAGAGACAGCTGACTGAAATGCATTCCTTTTCTTGATCTTTCTGACCTCACACAGTTTTGTCAAGGTAGAGATTATGGCTTTGATTTCTCCCATGTATTACTTTCTATTCCTGCTGCCTAACAATTCAAGCACAAGATTTAGAAGGCCCTTAAAAACAAACCCCAAATTTGTTATCTTAGAGTTATCTGCGAAGTCAGAAGTTACTGAATGGTCAGGCTGGCCGGCATTCCTTCTGCGAGGCCTCTTAAGGGAAAGAAATCTCTTTCCTGAATTTCGAGCAGCTTCAAAGACCTGTTTCTAGATACCTAGGGGTTAGCGCATAGACCGCCTTTAGCCGGAGGGAAAATCACGCTGCCTGTCATCGCCTCAGGTTTCACCAAAGCTGCGCGAAGCTTCTCGCCCAGAGCGTCCAAGGTGGCTAGGAACCCCAGGCGGCTAAATCAGAGCGTAGCTATCAAACGCACGTCCTACATCCACAAGCCTAAGTCATATTGCAATTCAGCGCGATCCATTAATGAAAACAAAAGTCATGAATCATGCAAAGTGCTATTTCCTCCTATTTGTTAGGGTGGGAGCAGAGAGCCAAAGGGTGTGTGTGTGTGTTTTTAAATAGCATCTCCACGTATTTCCTGTTGAATAAAAATAAACATGCATCATTGCAAAGCGTGCATTTTTCAATTCTTGAAAAGTTTCTCTGAAGACCACGGAAATACAGATCGCCTAGAAGAAGACAAGATCCAGCAAACAACAAACAGGAAAATGAAGGTCTTTTCTGACGCGTTATCTTTTGCTTTCAAAAAATGCCCCGAATAGCATTAACAAGAAAAAAAAAAATTGCAATACAATTAGCTTTTTATGCAATAAGGTTTGATTCTGATCGCGCATCCCTTTCCGTCTTCCATTTTATTTAATAGTAATGAAAATCTTGTGGTTTAGTGCCTTGGGTCTAAATTTTCTCAAAGTAGTAGTGGGGCCGTGGTAGTGGTGGCCCACTGAAGTCCTAGTACTCAGGAGGCTGAGGCAGAGGATTGCTTGCAGGCCCCGCGAGTTGAAGGGCAGCAAGGAGCGATGATCGCGCCACTGCACTCCAGGCCTGCGGTTGACAGAGCAAAGGATCCTATCGTCTAAAAAAAAATAAAAGATAAATGATAACGACCCAATAGGATTATCAGAATAATGTCAAGACGAGCGGTAAATGGCCTGACCACGTTCCCACTGCCCCCTACGGATACCTGAATTTGACAGGCGAACGCCTCCCAAGGCAGTTTTTTGCATAAAGATTTTTAATCACAGGCACCAAGGAAACGTCTGAAAGATTTCAAGTGTCTTCTCATGCACTTTATTCGCTTACTTCTTTTAAAAAGAAGGAAGCACTATGGACAGCACTAATATGGCTCCGTGTGGGGAAACAGATTTTGTGTCACTAGCACTGGGTGACGGACCCAGGCCGAGCGCGCCTTCTCTAACTCCCGCGCTCAATCGCGCCTCAGCTCCTGAGTCCGTGCCGTTCGCTTAGGCAAGGCAGATGGTAACAGCAGCAGCCGGCGCGCACTCTGCTTCGCTGCGGCCCTCACTTCGACATCACAAAGGCGTTGTGGGCTCCGCTTTACGTGATTTTTTTTTACCTACAAGAAGAGAGTAGCGGTGTCCCTCGTCGGGCAGGCGCGCCGCTGGCACACGAGTGGAACGTAAGGATTCGGTGGAGAGGGCTGCGGATTGGCCGCCCCTTCCGTCCACAACATTTCAAAAGCAAAAACCTTAACCGGACCGGGTGAAAGGAGGTGGCGAGCCGCGGCAGGAGGTGGGCGAGGGAAAGTCAGGTCCGAGCAAGAGAAACAGGGGTTGGTAACCGAGAACGCGCGCTGGACCGCCCGCGGAAGAGCTTGGAGTCCTCAGGCGAACGCACTTCCCGCCGCGCTGCCGGGGGCCATTTTCTCCGACTGGCTGTGGGCAAACGAGCAGCCCCTGCCGGCGCCGAGGGCGATTACAGCTTTTCGCCGAGACGTCTGACCGTGCTCCAGTAGGGTCAGCGATGGAGTGGCTCCAAGTCCCCAAGAAGCCTAAGCCGACCGGGTGAGCTTTAACCCCAAAAGAAGCGTAAAACGTAGGACAAATGGAATAGCGCAAAGAAGGAGCCAAATGTAAAGCCCCAATAACATCTTTCTACTTTTAATGCATACATTAGTAGGCTCACTGGATACGTAGGAACACAGGCGGAGCAAATTTTCCTCAAGTTTGGAGACAGTTTCTTTAAATTCGGAACAGTATTAATCCAAAAGGTGTTTAAAGTTTAAAGGAGAGGACAGCAAAAAGAAGACGGGGTCTCGCTATGTTGCCCAGGCTGGAGTGTAGTGGCTATTCACAGGCGCGATCCCCATACTGATCAGCACGGGAGTTTGACCCTGCTCGTTTCCGACCTGGGGCCGGTTCAACCCCTCACTTAGGCAACCTGGTGGTCCCCCGCTCCCGGGAGGTCACCATATTGATGCCGAACTTAGTGCGGACACCCGATCGGCATAGCGCACTACAGCCCAGAACTCCTGGGCTCAAGCGATCCTCCCATCTCAGCCTCCCGAGTAGCTGGGACTACAGGCGCGCGCCACCGCGTCCGGCGCTCGCAAGAGCTGCAAAAACGTACTAGAGGCTACGGGTGTGGTGACGTCACGGGGGGAGGGACGAGTCCGGGGCGTGGAGAGCTTGGGCACGCCTGGCGAGAGGCGGTCTTCAGGCTTGATTCGCGTGACGTCATCTGGGCGGGGCTGTTGTCCTGCCCCCTCTGGGTTCCCGGTGAGGAAAGTCACCTGACCTGTAGTGGGCGCGGCTTCCGGTGTTTTGCTGCAAAGCTGCGTGCGTTACTGTTTAACAGAAATTGGTCAGCCTGCGCTTAATACTCGTAGGTGTGGTGTCCAGACTTGCAACTGGGGAAAAAAGGAAACGCGATTACCTGGTTCCTCAGCATTACTTGCTTCAGCAGGCCTTACATACGTGCTGCATTTTGGGGGGGACCTTACTTAGGAGGGAAACATCTGCTTTTAAATCTTTCATATTCTCAGCAAGCATTTAGGAGGTGCCTGCGCTGTACGAAGGGGAATAATACATAGTGGCAGAGGTTGGGGGTCCGCAAAAGTGCCGGAGGCTAGCTCAATCCTAACTACTAGAAGGAAGGGAGGCTAAGGCAACCGTCTGATTTCGCTGCCCCCACATGTTCCTAGTCCATTATTATTAGAGAAGCTACTGTCTGGGTAGATTAGTGGAAGAATTTGGATTTAGCAGCCTGAAGTTCTTTTAGAGAAAGCTTAGATTGGGAACGGATAGAGGAGAAGAAAGAAAAAAGAATTTCCAATCATGGTTGATCAGCTAGCCCAAACTTTGCCCTCCACCTCTGTGCAGATAATTTTGCTACCTCCGTCTTAGAAAAATTAAAAGGCTATCAGACATGAACTCTTTCAACTCCTCGCTGCTCTCCCCTCCTCTAAATTTATCTTTACATCTTCAGAAGAGAGCAACCCTCTGTTCTCCCTAACTCAAACCCCATTGGCAAAAATTCCTCCATCAATCATTTCCACACATCCTCTCTCTCCCACTGTCCCTCTCCTTCCCTCGTTCCCCCCACCTCTCTCTCTCTCATAAAGAGATTACGAGCTCTCTTTCATCTTAAAAAAGAAACTCTCCTTTGACCTTGCCTCTCTTTCCAAATGAAATCTTTCCATTGCTTTCATAGCTGCACTTCTTGAAAGCATTTTCTACCATTGCTACATTTGCTTCCTAACGTTCTGTCTTCAGCTCATAGCCCATCAATCCACGGAAACTATTCTAGCGAAGGCTTCCCTACCCAAGCCTCCTAATTGGCAGGTTTAAGGGACACTTTCTGATCTAGGTGACATAATTTACCACCACCACCACCCAACAGTAGCACTTGTGCTTGCTGCCTACTCCCAGAAAGTTTCTTCTCCCTGGTTTTTGTTGACAGCTTCAGATAGGTCCTCCTAGGCTTCGCTGGTCTCTACTCTGCCCAGTCTGTAAATATTGTTCCTTGTAGTTCCCTCCTAAACCTTCTCTGGTCTCTCTCCATGTTCTTCATTCATAGTGTCATCAATTCTCAAGACTGTCAAATCTGTAACTCCAATCTGATGCTTTTGTGGAGCTCCATATCTACATTTCTAGCCACCTTCTGGATGTCACCTTGAAATCGTTCAAAACTTCAAATTCATTTGCAAGCAAAACCGATCACCTCTTCCTCCATTGCTCGATGCTCCTATATTCACACTGTCTATTAAAGATATTTAGTTGCTCACCTCAGAATCCTGAGTCATCTTTAACTACTGTTTCATTCAATACCAAATATTCATTTCTTGCCTTTCTAATGACAGGCACTGTGTTACATGATGAGGATGTAGTAGTGAAGAAAAGAAACACACGGAAGAGACAAGCAAAAAGTTATAATTACAAACTGCGATAAGTGCTAGTAAAAGAACCCAGACACTGTAATATAAATAATGGTGGCAAGAAAGGGGAAGGGATCTTCTTTAGAGAAGGTACTCGGGTAAGCCTCTTTGAGGAGGTGTTATTTAAATTAGAGTTTGAAGAATGAGGCATTAGTTAAGGTACTTCGATTGCAAACAAGAATTGTTTGTAGACGGAAATAAACGAACTTCTCTTAAGGAATTGATTGGAAGAAAATGGGTATGTGGCAGAATGTTGTTCCCGAAAGTCTGTTCGCCCCTTTTACTACACTATCACATGTTTAGCAGGGCACAGGAAGTCCCAGCTAGAGACTACATTTCCCAGTTTCCCTTACAACCAAGTGTAGTCAAGTTCTCACCAATGGAATGTAAATGATAGTGATGATATGCTTTAAAATAAATCAGTTGGCCTCCACCTCTGCTCTTTTTCTCTTCTCCAGCGCTAGATGGCGTCAGTGCAGACACACTGCAGTGTCCCTGCTTTAACCATGCAAATGAGGAAAAATATCCTAGTAGATGACAGAGGATCAAGAGGAGAGACACCAGGCGCCATGGGTGAATTAATGGAGTGGAGCCACCTTGCCAGTCTGTGTGCCACCCCTAACTCTGGAATGTTATATGAGAAATAAGCTTCTATTTCATTTAAATCATTATGTCTTGGGGGTCTCTATTACTGCAGCATACTCTGTACTCTACCAGATGTAGGGAAGTTCACAAAAGAAAATCCCGGATAACCAGAATTCTGAAAGAGCAGAAACCAAAAGAGCTCCAGGTATCTACAGGATACCCCAACGGAAGGAACCATCTTCAACCTCCTGTAAGAAGAGTCCGATTTTCTAGTTTCAGTTCTGTATTCTACAATCTTTATTTATAGTCATATCCATTTATATAATTGTGTTGTAAATAAAACTTTTGTGTTCTGCTTTTCTTTCTCATTTGTCACTATACTGTATACAGTCTCTTCAATTGATGCATTATAATTTATGATGGTTTAAATAGAACCACTGTAAGTTACACTGACCATCACTTCATCATTCTATACATTTCACCTGTATTGATTTATGAATTAGTATTGGGCATAATATCCAATGCCAAGTCAATTATGCACAATCTGTAATCAGCTGTTTGCCTTTTAACAGTGCCAAAAACAAGGCCATGTCCAGCTGTATGGGGTTTTGCCCGTTCAAAATGTGACCTGTATGAAGGTTAATTCTGTAGCACTAAACATTATAATAGATAACACCCTCATCCCAACTGGCACATCTCAATCTGTCTACAAAACTCCGCGCCAGCCCAGGCAAGGTGGCTCACAGCCTGTAATCCTAACACTCTGGAAGGCCAAGGCAGGCGGATTGCTCGAGGTCAGGAGTTTGAAACCAGCCTGAGCAAGAGCGAGACCCCGTCTCTACTATAAATAGAAAGAAATTGGCCAACGAGTATGTATAGAAAAAATTAGCCAGGCATGGTGGCGCATGCCTGTAGTCCCAGCTACTCCGGAGGCTGAGGCAGGAGGATCGCTTGAGCCTAGGAGTTTGAGGTTGCTGTGAGCTAGGCTGACGCCATGGCACTCACTCTAGGGGGGGCAACAAAGCGAGACTCTGTCTCAAAAAAAAAACACCAAAAAAAACGTCCACACCATTTGGCACAAGAGTTTATAAATCAGTCCTTTGGGGACGTTAAATGAAGAGCATGGAGTCAGACGAAGAGGCTTTAAGCCCTGGTCGGGGGAGAAGGGTTGTAGGCAACCTTGGTCTGGGCCTTGAGTTCTCAGCAGCCACCAGGGAAGGGGCACGGGACATGGCAGAGGGTGGACCGGGGCCGCACGGGCCAGATTGGTGGGCCATGAGAGGGCACTCGAGGAGGGC